AGCTCAGCAGATCAAACCAAAATGGAGTTCCTCATGCTAAAGTTCCTCATCACCAAGCTGAGTCTAAGTAGCTTACCTACCCTTTATACGAAAGTTTCCTCTGCTTTCACCTTTACTAGGAGAGTAACTTTGAAACTAAAAATCCACTTTCTGTTCTCTGTTTCTGCTTTCCTCACCTTTTTACTTTCTACGAAACCAACCACCTCTTTACAGCTCATCAGAACACTCATTCTGTTTCATAGAATGTGGTTTTGCCCAATTCTAGAATCGCAAATAAAGGCTAAGTGAGATCCTTAAACTAATTTTTCTGTAATTTTAACTTTTGATACTGTGCAGCTTGATTCCGGGGCTTTGTTATTGACATTTTTCATCAGAATGTTGTTTTTGATACTGTGCAGCTTGATTCTGGGGCTTTGTTACTGCCATTTTTCATCAGAATGTTGCGCCATGGGTCCTCACTGCACTTCAGCTGTGGCCCCAGATCAAACGTAATCCATAGGATGGAGACAAGTGCAGCACCCTGCAGCAGAATCATCCAGCTGAGCCCTGCCTTTATCAGTGGGATCATTGTTAACATGAGCATCCGTAAACATGGAAATAAATGCTTCCTACTATAACCCACTCAGTTGTGAGTGGTTTGGTCACCAATAATTATTATGCAAAAGCTGACCAGTACAATATTTACATCCACCCATATAGATGTATTTTATCAAAGTTGATAGCATAGATATAAGTATTTAAAAATTCATTAGTAAAGATATTAAGAAATGATTAAAGAAGAAAAAACTAAATAACTTTTGAATCAAAATAGTAAATTTAATCATAATTATATAAAAATATGCATGTAAGTATATGCCATACTTATCAGTGCATATATTAATATTGAGCAAAATATTGTCTGTATATACATATGTAAACATATATGCATGTCTAAATAAGATTGTTTAAGTGTATATATATATATATGCAAACTATGCATAGGTAAAAAATATTATGTTAATTATATGGTTTA